ATAATTAAAGATCTCTCTGTTAAATTATTAGCAAAATGGTGTTAACTTGTGAGAATCGTTACAAGCTTGTTGCATGCAAATTATAAAGAAAATCTAATGCCTAGATTTTCTGCAAATAAACAAAACCGATTTTAAAGGCCTGTTTTTATTTATTCATGTTGCCATGGAAACGGCACATACGTCAGCTTAACCACCAAGAAACCAAAGTTTGTGTTGTTAACTAGCTTGCTGCCATTTTTGACGACCGAGGGATGAAGGGTTTTAGAGAAACAGGTGAATGAAACACAGGTATCAAAAACTGTGTTCAGCCAGCTTAAATATCAACTGGGTACCAGTCTCGGGCTGCGGTAAAACGTTAGGTTCTCTTTCCGCCCTCTCTCTGGTCCGGCCGAAAGAGCGGCTGGTAATCGAGTCCGGGAAAATTGCGTCCAATTCAAAAATTGCAGATTGGTTTCAAATACAAACTGATAATTATTTGCGTAGATTTTAAACATTTTGGCAAGGCGTAATCTGTGTAAAATGTAACCCGAAGTGCAGAGGCCTTACTTAAAGACTGATTCGATTTCCCCGTATGCATGTATCAAAATGACCTACACGTAGAAAGTAACGGGGGTGATTGGACTGCCGGCCTACACTGCTGGCCTGGCCAAAGCAAAATAACTTTTCGGTGTCTGTTATATAACTGATATATGTTTCGTATTTCCTTTTACTTCGTACAGCATATCAACACCACAGACTGCCGAGTGTGCATTAAAGAAATTCACAAACCAAACGGATACGATCCAGTTAAAGTAGCCACGATGATGATTGGAGAATAAAGTTGAAAAGCATGAGAATTAGTTAAAACTGAATAAAATTGTTATCAGAAAAATATTCAAGTGTCTTCATGTTTTCTCCGTGGTGTCTCTCCTTTACACTAAATGAATGAACTTGCAGAGTTTATTTTAAAGTACAACTAACCCCCAATTTTTTTTTCGTCAAATGGAATCTACTAGTTTGCCGTATTATTACTTCAGCGAAAAAATTATCTCGATTGATAAAGTCCCCGCGATTCTACAGGCGTTTAAAGTTGTAATTTCTTGCCCCACGACCGAGCATAGCGGCATCTGGGTCGGGCTTCTTGTGACGTCATAGAAGGACATTGCTCAGAACACTCAAGAGACGTTTGACTGGGTTTCGAGCGCTGTGAAAACATATTTGGGGTACAATGGAACCCCGCCTTATGACCACCCCGTTAATAAGGCCAGCTCGTTATTACGGCCACTTTATTCTGGCCCGAAGAAAAGTTCATTCAGTCATCTTGTTATTTCAAGAACCCCTTTAATATGGCCACCCCGTTAATACGGCCAGAGTTTTGTGGCCCGTTGGTGACCGGATTAACGCGGTTATACTGTATTGGTGCTTGATATTTTATCAAAAATGGGCAAGACTGTTAAGTGAAGGAACTGTACCATCCAGCAATACAACTCGGAGTCTAGCTACGATCAGCACGGCTACGATGTATATATATATATTTTTTTCAAAACAGAATCCTAGCCCAAAACATTTAATACTCGCTTGCAGTCCCCAATTAATTATGAGTACGGTGGAGCCCCGCCTTAGGGTCACCCCATTAATAGAAACAATACGGCCAGATTTTTGTGGTTCGTTGGTGACCGAATTAACGGATTCCACTGCACCACAAAAAATAAGCGATCTCGATATCCGGTACTGACACAGCAGGTTGTAATAATTCAAACTTCTTGATTTAATCAATCCGCATGCATAACAAAGTCAGATGCCCAAATCTCCCCCAACCCCGTTGTTTGCACGAAACTCTTCACAAATTTCTGGCACACTGATTGTTTTCACTTGAGTGTTCTTTTCTACTCTAGGAATTCGTTCAAAACATTTGCACTTTCAAAGGGGGAGTTACGGACGGCCTTACGGGCAAAATTAGCTGCAATCAGTGTCACTAGTCGGTGGAACAACCCCCCCCCCCCCCCCCCCCCCCCAAAAAAAACACGCACACGCTTACCATATTTCAAATATTTTCGCTCGTGCGTGATTGATCTAAACACTTCTTCACGTGATTAAATATGCCTCCGCTAACACTAGGGAATATCCGAGAGATATTTTCCAAGTTTCAAAACTGCGCTTGCTGCGAAAAATATTTGAAGGATAATAAACACCAGTCTCCATTTGGAGCGAAAATTGTACTAGCCGCGAGCTATTATGTAGAGAACTGGAGGCTCGTGGTGCTGCAGTAAACTTCGACAATGTTATGACGCAATTTATCATCAATGAGAGGACAGACGAGTTCGGGGGAGGAGCGCGGGCTCTTTTCCCGAACAGCGGCTGGTAATCGAGCCTATCTGTACTCTTATTAAGAAAAAAATGAGCCAATCAGCGCGCGAGAAGTTAGACATTACTAGTTATTGTAAAAAATGGTTTCGAATTATCTCTCGCGCGTGCCCCTGAGCATTAGGGCAGAATCTGAGCGCGCGTTATATCGGCTACAGACACCAGCCATATAATGTATAAGAAGAAAATAAATTCATGGATGTGAAAATATAACAGGATAAAAAGGTGTGAAAAAAACGACCACAAAAAAAAAAACAAAACAAAAAAAAACCCCACTATTTTCAAAGAATACAATGCAGTTGTGGTGAAGGCTTAGCACTATTGTTCAGGTCACTGGATGTCGCAATGTGCCATGACATGAGAGTTTATCGCACCTGGTAGTCACCTTTTCAATAACTCTTGGAAAGTCAATGAAGCAGTCATTCATTCAAGCCCTGAAATTTAAGACACTCAAAGAACCAACCTGGCCATTGAAAAAATCTTCAATTTATCATAAGCGAAAACAACAACAACAACAACAACAACAAAACAACCACGTACCAATAGCAGAAAACGGATGTTCTCTTTTAATGCTCTTCAATTGTGGAACAGTCATGATGACTTTGTCTATTCGGGCGATCTAAAGAAGTTCAGAGGAAACTACTACACGATGCGTAAATTCACGCCTGATAACTTGAAAATTGACAGACTTTTTAATTTCTTATTGAACTTGGGTTTAATTTTTAAAACTTAGCACTCTAAGTAATTTAGTTCCTATTATTGTAACATTCTAGTAGCTTAGTATCCTATGTTGTAATGTCTAAACTTCCTGTAAGTAGTCATGTTCTAACTTAGTTTCATATATAGGGCAATCAGGAAGACTACAGTCTCGACTGTAATTTTGCACCCTTTTGAAATA